GGGAGCCGAGCATGATCTCGTTCCTGATTCCCCCCAACAATCACACCATCTCAGCTGCGCAGCTCCTCCTTCAACCATGTCTTCCCCACACCCATCATGGAGGTAATCTCGCATCCCCAAACCTTTGATACACCTAGAAAATGCACCTGCTAACCGAGCACAAGGCTCCTCGAGCTCGCGGAATGGGCCGATCAGGACCCCGACGCCGCACGGGCTGTCTGACCTGCCGGGCACGTAAAGTCCGTTGCGACGAGACCAAACCCACGTGTGCCAATTGCACGCGCCTTCGACTGCAATGCACCTACAAAAGCACCATTCAAACGGTCATCCCGCGACAACGGCATAACAGCCAGAGCTCAGGAACAGTCGCGAGCGCAGCATCAGCCCCCACCAGCACCGCTAGCACCACTTCACCCGACCGTCCAGACGTGAACTTCTTCCACACCGTCCTCTGCAATGACCGACTCTCAGCATCGAATTCAGGATCCCCGCAGCAGGCGGGTCCCAGCAGTCGCCCTTCACAACAACACCAGCAACCCCTAGGTGCGGACAATATCACCTCGTTCGATATTCTTAGTTTCATCGGCGAGATCACCTCCGACTTCCAGCAGAAACACCTCGACTTGACCACGAATGGACTGGCGGGGTTCCCAGCGGGTTCGGTACCGGCGGCGATCGCGAGCGAGGAACTCGATCAGAATGAACGGCCGATCAGTTGGAACGCGGGCTCAGTTTCAGTCATCCACGGTGATCGTTCAGAGTTGGGGTCTGCTTCGGATACAAGTGGTGGTAGTAGTAGTAGTAGTGGTCATGGTCGGCTGACGTATGAGTATCGGTTGTTTGCACATTTCGTGGAGGGGGACCCGCCGCCTACGATATTTGGACCGGTGGATTTGGATTGGGAGTATGTGCGTGCTAATGTTGTTGCACAGTCGCGCGATAGTCGGGCGGTCTTACATGGGATTTACTGCTACGCGGAGATACATGAGGCGTTGGTTGAGGGGAAGGCGTGGAAACTGGCGTCGAGGTATCATCAGCTGGCGTGTTCAGAGGTTCAGTCGTGCTTGCTGGGCGAAGTGGAGGAGACGGTACTGAAAAGGGTGTTTACTACGGTGTTATTGTTGATGCTGGCGGAGGTGAGTGTCTCAAGGTTCGCTCTGATTACTTGACTTTGGCTAAAGAGCTGACGAAACAGCTCCTTTCTACCCCTGATCTATGGGGCTCAGGAACGTCCTTTCTCCACTCTGCATATCTCCTGCTGCAGCGGTTTCACCACCGAACCAAGTTGTGGACCGGTGTGAGCAGTGTTATTGTGTCGTGGGTGTCATTGCTGGATGTTAAAGCGCTGATAGCTGGCCGTGATGGCGATCCGCTAATTGATTTGGGCAGCCTTTCATCCAAGGCAAACACTACGTCTGAACTAGCCATGGAAGACAAATTGTTCGACAACAGCAGCGACGAGGAGCCACCGAAACCCGCATACCTTATGCGTGAAGCCATCACGGGCCCGGCCTTTCGCTTCTTCCTACAAACGCAACAGGTCATCCGACGAATCGTATGCATCGACTTGCATCACCGCAGTCGCGGGACAGTCAGTGACGAGTTTGAGGTGCTTCAGATAGCACACCAGGTCGGGGCCGATCTCGAGACGCTCTGGAACCGGCGTCCGCGCGTGCTGGACGTCTACAGCACGCCCGAGGACCTCTTCGATACTCTACAGCCTGCTATCGCGATCGAAATCTGCCGGACATTCCGACAGTACATCGCCAACTTCCTAGCGATTTTTATCTACCTACACCGGGTCGCGTTCGCCATCTACCCACGGACTGACCGAGTGCACCGCGCAGTGGATCGGATTATTCAATTGGCAACCGCGGAGGTGGAGTCTGGGAGCGACCAGCAACATCTGCCCGCCAGCTTTGTATGGCCGTTATTTGTGGCCGGCCTTGAGGGATCGATGGAGCAGCGAAGATGGATTGTGAAAGAGATGCAGCGGATCACTGGCAGCTGTAGTAGTCGCTGTCACGATCCCGAGCGCATCCGTGGAAGCTCCCGTACGGCGCGACATCCGCATGCGGGGAAAGCATTGCTCCTGCTGGAGGAGATGACGCGACGACAAGATGCGTCGCGCACCTGGGCAGACTCGCGGTGCGTGCGGCGGGAGCTATTTACTGATTTCTTCGTCATGATCTAGAAGACAGTAAGTAGCCGTAGGAGAGGCCAAGTGGACATCGGGAGGTTTGCAGGAGACTCCGGAGTGGATGAACATCAACTCGAAACGCGTCGCAGATCTCCTGACCACGTAATCGCACGTCATCTGACTCCCCGCCAGTCTCCATCGGCCTGTATTTACTTCCTTACTTTTCATCTTCACTTCCCCTCTTCTCCTTTTCGTCTGCTGTCCTGCATCTCTCCCCATTGTGGCTGTCGCATTCTCTTCCTCGCGACATGGCCCACAATGAGGCCCTACTCCGAACTCCCCCAGGATGCTGATCTCCACGATCCCAGCCATCATGATCCACCGCCGTCCGGCAACCAGAGCGCCTTTCGCCTTTACTGGCTCACGGCAATCGTCTGCTGCGGCGGCCTTCTCTTCGGCTATGACTCGGGTGTGATTGGTATGTAGTCTCCTGAAGACGCACCGCACACCATGCTCATCAATCAATTCCAGGCGGAGTTCTCACCTTCGAATCCTTCCATCGCTCCTTTCGGTATACCGCCGCCGATGAGACACGAGTTAGCGCTATTGCAGTCGGCGTCCAGCAAGCCTCTGCGCTACTTGGCTGTCTGCTTATATGGCCTTTCACAAACCGCCTTGGTCGTCGCCCGGCCATGGCTGTCTGCTCCCTCATCTTCTGCACGGGGGTCATCTTCGAGCTGCTCGATACCCACTCGCTATCCGTCTTCTACGTGGGCCGCGTCATCTGCGGACTGGGGATCGGCGGCTCCGCAACCGTCATCCCCATCTATCTCTCGGAAATGAGTCCCACCGACAAGCGCGCCCGGCTCGGGAGCTGCTATCAATTCGCCTTCACCATCGGCATCCTCGTCTCCTACTGGATCGACTATGGCATGCAATTCGCTCCCGCCAATGCCCTGCAATGGCAGATTCCATTCGCCGTGCAGCTGATCCCCGGCGCATTAATGGGGTTGGGGATGCTCACGCTCCGCGAAAGTGTGCGATGGCTCCTCTCCCACGACCATGACAAGAACGAGTCCAAAGCATGGGACAGCCTAACCTGGATCCGCTCATCGAACGGACCACACGTGCGCGCTGAGTACCAGCAAATGAAATCCAGCATCGAGCGTGACGCACACGCAACCGCTGATTTCTCTCCGAAAGAACTCCTCAGCAAATCCAACAGCCACCGACTCGCTCTAGCCGTCTGCCTATTCATAGCCCAACAATCCATGGGGCCAACGGCGCTCGCCTACTTCGGTCCGCAATTCTTCGCCCTCCTAGTAGGCAACAACGCCCACCTGACCCTCCTCCTAACCGGCATCTTCGGCGGCCTAAAAGTAATCGGCTGCCTCATCTTCATCGTATGGGTCGCCGACCGATTCGGCCGCCGACCACTACTCATCCTCGGCGCACTCGCCATGTCCATCTGCATGATAACCACCTCAGTGGTCGTAAAATCCACCAACGTCCCCACCCCCCACCCATCCACAAATAACCCCTCCAACACCACCCCCACCATAACCAACAGCGGCCTCCTCACCGTCTCCCTCATCTACCTCGCCATCGTCTTCTACAACCTCTCCTGGGGTCCCCTCCCCTGGCCCTGCACCGCCGAACTCTTCAACACCCGCATCCGCGAACCAGGCGTCGCCATCGGCGTCGCCGCCCAATGGCTCTCCAACTTCGTCTGGTCATTCTCGACCCCGTACGTCCTAGCCGGCGCCAAATGGGCCACCTTTTTGATCTTCGGCATCTTAGACGCCAGCTTCGCCGTCTTCGTCTGGTTCTTCCTTCCGGAGACGCGCGGGAGATCCCTCGAGGAGATCGATGCGCTTTTCGGAGATGATGAGGATAAGCTTCATCATGATGATTCGCTCTCGTCTGCCCTGCTGGTCGGGGAACAGGAACAGGAACAGGAAATTGACCGTGACTGTGAACAGGATGGGATTGTTTCTGATGATGATGCGGGGGCGAAGACGAGTGAGGAGAGAGTGGAGGTTTAGTTTTCCATTATTATATATATTCATGTGTGGATGGTTTAATTATAGAGTTAGATGGTAGAATATGGATTGATTATATTCTTACAAGTGTTGATACGAGATAAATCAGCTGCGATAGAGTATCTTATAGCAGAACGAAATATGATTGATAAATGAACGGAACTGAATACTACCTGTAGATTGATCTAGACTACTCCGAGAGTATGCATGAAACTAGTCTAATGCGGAAACTAGTCCCAAGTGGAGATAGAACCATCGATCTACTGTACATGGTCTGCCAGTCATGTGAGAGACCATTTATATACTACTACTACTGCTACTCTATATGACTATACGGTGTTTAGTAACTAGAGAATCTCAGAGTAAGCTAAATATTGATTATGATTAGCTACCGGGAACCCACACAGCAACTAGCGTACACTCGTATCATCGTAGCAATTCGTGTTCCTTTGCCCAACCAGTTCCCCCCCAGAAAAGAAAAACGCCCCCCTCCGGCAAGTTGGTTTCGAAACCATACAGCAAACCTACCTAACTATAAAATCGCCACAGTCGCCAGCTACCTGAGCGATAATAACAAGAATATACCTTGAACAGCAATCACAAAGTCCCGCCCAAACCACGTGCTTTTTTTGGTGGGGGAGTTAGCAAGAAGGGGGGAAAAAAAGAAAAGGGGAAAAAAAAACGCCGTCATGCAGTCGCCAGTCATGTCAACCATCGAGGGCTCATGATAAAACACAGAATAAGACGACACCAGCCGCCATTGAGCCCTGAGATGATGTTGAGCAATGTATAGAGAATGATGGATATAGAAGATGGTTCTAGACATCGAGCAGATCCTCGAAGCCGTCATTGTTGGGAGTCGAGAAGGAGAAGGACGCGTCACTCGCGAGGGTCTGCTCTGAGTCCCGCCGAGGAGTGGGTTCTAGGGAGCCCATCTTTGAGGGAATCTGAATGGGGCTATCAAAGCCAAAGGAGAGATCCTGCGAGCGGGTCGTCCTACTCGAGCTCGACGGGGTCAGAGCATTCAGGTCCGGTTTCAGGTCGGACGTCCCCAGTGAGTCCTGCTGAGTAATGTTCTTCACCATGGTGCTGAGGTGCAATTGAATAGCCTCATCATTGCACTGGGCATGCTCGAGTAAGTAGTTTTTGAACACCAGGATCTCGCTACGTAAAGCGTCAATATGACGGGTCAGGTCTTCTCTCCTTTGGGAGAGTTCTCTGAATTGACTGCGGAGACTCTCCGTCTGCTGCTTCTTCTTCTGGCGACACTTGCTCGCTGCCAGCCGATTGCGCTCCAGGAATTTCTCACGCTTCGCTTTCTCGCTCAGCTTGTCATCGGCATCGGGGGAAGACGAGTTGTGTGTGCCATTAGTCTTGCGACGCCTGGCCGCTGGTTGACGCGCGTCCGAAGCAGCCGGTTGACTGAAGCTTGCACGGGGAGTTGGGTTGGAATAGACAGCAGCCCCGTCGTACGACTGGAGATGAGACAAGGAATAGAATTGGTCGACCGAATTGAGTTTCTTGTCGTCATATGGAGGGGGCGTTGGTTGACCGTTGCGGACATGCGAGTTCTTCAGGCCTCGCTCAAAACCCGGATTGGTGAAAACCTGCGGGTCATGTTTCGCCGACCAGCTCGGTAGCGAAGGAGAAACTGGGCTGAAACCGAAGAGAGTCTGATCGTCCCCGGCTGGGTAAGACATGGAAAGGATGTCAGTCGCCATGTAGGAATTAGAGATGGTGAAGTGAGAAGGAGCCGCGCTAACGGCACCAGGCATAACAGCTTCGTTGGACACGACGGCCTCGCCAGGAACAACAGGCTGACCGAAAGAGGCCTGAGTCGCCATGTTGAGAGAGTGAGCCTGATTTAGACTAGCCAGAGGGCAGGGCAGAGCCGCTTGAGCAGGTTGTAGAGAAGATCGAAATTGATATTAGGAGGAGAGGAAGAGACAGAGAGAACTAGCTATTGAAAGGTAGAGGAGTATGGTTGTGGCGACGGACGGGCAGGCGAATAGAAGGTATTTAAAGCTCCGGCCGCGATGCCAGAGAAGACCGGAAGCACAAGGCCGAAAGTCAGTGAGCAGAGCGGCTTAAAGACACAGTCTGGCACCTGGAACAGAGGTCCTGGGATCTTGTCGAGCCCAGGAGCAAACCAGTGTGACCGAGGGGAAGATGACCACGGCAGGTACGAGTGATGGTAGGCAGCTACCACGGTTGCGAAGGCGGGAGAGAAAGCAACAAAGGATGAACAATGCACTGACAAGTCAAGAACAAGCGGGAAGGTAAAAAGCTGGAGAGCTCCAACCGGTTCAGAAGGAAGGTTGGCCAGGAGAATATATCCCGACAGGATCAAAGTGGGGGGGTTGAGTTGTTGGAGAGAGAGAGTGTGTGAGTGTGTTGTATGTCCAGAACGGGGGCTGGCAGTAGGGGTCCTTCTGGAGCCAGCAGCGGAACCTGGACCAGGAAAATCAGGGAACTGGGCGAGACCAGAGTGGAGCTGGAAGAGAGCTTTCGTCAGGCAATGAATCTGCAGGAGATCCAGAATCAGAAATGGGGGGGTGTCAAGGGCAGAGGAGGGGTTAAGGTGGGAAATGTAACGGAGAGGTCCACGGAACGGAAGAGCCGGCAGAGTTAAAAGAGAGGGAGAGAGAGAGGGAGAGAGAGAGAGGGAGAGAGGGAAAGGGACAGAGAGGAAGGAAAGCGATAGGAGAGGAAGAGTGAGAGGGAAAAGGAAAGAGAGAGGGAGGGAGAGGAGAGAGTACCACGGAAAGAATGAGAAGGAGGGGAAACCCGGATCGAAGTCAATGTGGGAGAGTGATACGAGGGGAGGACAAGCTAGGGTTGGGAGACAAGAAAGAAGATGAAACGAGTTGAGGAGATGACAAGCAGAGGAAGGATGAGGATTGGATGGAAGAGAAGAGAGAGACGAGGACTTTCTTACTCACCAACAGGAATCTCCCAAGTGGTTGCGCAAGTGGCAGGGAATTGGGATGTTGTGTGGATGATGAGGTCGGGGAGGATAGAGTAGAGAATACAAGAAGTAGTAGTTGTTGGTGTTGTTCGTACCTTGTAGTAGCTGATGGGTGGTAGAACGAACCAACAACACACAAACCTTTGGATGGAAAGTCAAGTGAGCCGTGAGCAATAACCAGTGATGTACTGAGAGGGGAGGAGAAACAGATGACAGATGAAGCTTCAACTCCCCGAAGCAGCTGGGAGAGAGTTATGATTATTATGGCTTGATGATTGGGTCAGTCGCAGTTCCGGCGTCGGGAAGCCAAGAGAGGGCATCCACTGGACGAAGACCTGGCCAGAACCGGCAAGGTTGACATCATTATTGGAACAAGAGATCTGGAGACTTCTCCGGTCTCCACGATGAGGGAGAGCATGCGAGAAAGAACGAGAAAGAAAGGAAAAGGCTGCGACGATCAGGGGCAGGACAAGATCCCTCAATTCAGCCGGAGCTGCACGATTACGCACTTGGTTGGCATGACAGATGCCAGCCAGGCCAGCTGGACTTGCAAATGTACTTTATCTAGAATCAATGCTAGTAATACTAGTACCTGTCGAGTAGGGTTCCCTTCAGAGCTCTAGTAGTGTACTAGAATGTGGTCTACTAAAGGGAAACTAGTGGCACAGCTACCTTAGTCTCTTTCTATACCCCAGATAAATTTGGAACACCATCAAAGATAGCCATCTCAAGTATGTACTGGACTGAGTAGAAATCAAACCCAGATAACAACAAACAACCAACAACCACCACCAGATCAGCCCACATCATTCTGTGCTTCTCCGCCGACAGTTTTCCGAACCCGAGAACCTTAAAAGAAGGAAAAGGACGAAAGGATGTTGACCTTGTCTGATATCATCATCCTCCTCAAACGTCATCCATTCATGGCATGAGAGGGCAAAACAACTCACTCACCCTAACCCTGGACCTTAAGAAACGAACGGGGGTTCCGTCTTCCCCGTCCGGTTCCACCAGCAAATGATTTCCTACACAGCCCAGGAGGAAAATCTACTACTCATCATTGAAATGGACGGGAACTCACTCAACTAAGTAAATATTATATTTTTCTTCAATGAGTCATTCAGTTACTTTCGGATTTGATTTATTTCCCTCATCCATGACAGACCCGACAAGAGGGAAAGAAAAGAAAAAGAAAAAACGAGGGTGGATTGTCCGGTTTCAGGGAAAGCCAAGTAGTGCCGTTCCTCATGCTGATTGGCGGTTTGAAGTTCCCGACGGGCGGGCGTAGTTGGCATTTCTCTTCCCCCATCAAACTTTGTTGGCGGATTCCCCAAATGCAGCAAGTAGTGGTTAAGTACTTACAAGTAGCATGGAATATTTAAAGAATTGGGGTCTCGATTTCCGGTTTCTCTCCCGGTTCCTTGATCGGAGAGAGAGCCACTTTTCCACATACCATACTTCATAGTTGATATATCTATATGCTAGTGGAAGGGGGGGAGTACATACATAGCAGCAGCAGCAGTACTATGTAGACAAGTAGTAGTTCAAGTTGGAAAGGATCCACATGAGCTGTTTCTCCCCGGGTAAGTTGTAAACTAATTGTCTACTTAGTACTGACAGTACTTCCCTGCCAGCTGGCATGATTCAAGTGCCATGAAAATCAATTTACTCTTTTCATCAGCCTGCGTCAGATAAATTATCCTAAATAATTATTACTATGCACCCTTTATCCCTCCCGACCTACGGATCCCCCTTCCAGGGCTAGCCAGAACTACTATTCAACCCAACGGCCTTCTCAACAATAAAGATTATCAAATCAATCAAATGACAAGATGCCAAGTTGTTAGTTCAACAAATTAACAATAAAAAAAATAAGAAAATAAATACCCTTCTAGAAATACAACCACTAATCCACTCAAGAAGAATTGATTTTGGTATGACGCGTAACCAACTCCCGAATCATGATATATTCCTTGAAAATACACTGCATACATGCATTGCACACAATTAACCGAGATACATACATACATACATGCTTATCTACGGAGTAAGTAGTAGTAGTAGTACTTTGATGATCAAGTCACAAATAAAGTACTTCCTCCGTTAAGTACTTCAGTCTAAGTAACTTAGTAAGTTATGTCCCCACGCGGCTTTTCCCTCCAACGAACCACGATCCACCGATCGACGAGCTTCAGCTATTAGTTCTAACCAACCAGCCTTCATAGCTCATACAATGTAGATAGTATTATCCCAACCACCTCACTCCACATCATCTACCACTACTACCACTACCACCACACAGTAATACTCAGTTCCAAATCAGATCCAAGAAAACTACTTACCAAAAGATCAACCATCCCATCACCACCCTACCTACTAAGTAAGTTCAATTGCAATATAATACACTTCTCGCTTTTCTCCTCAACATCCATCCCCATCCTATCAATCAATTGTTGTATTGCGCGTTCAATTTCACCCGCCCTCTCCTCTCAACCCCGGAATGGACAACTCGAACCACTGGTTCTAGATTCAGCAACTGACGACTTTTTCCGCCTTCCCTATTAATTCTGATTCTCTCATTCATCCGTTCATTTTATCCATCCCGTCCCGTCACTACTCAACACTCTTGCGAAACTGAGTGAGTGATTTAGTTATCTTCTGGTACGGATCATGTCGCCGGCTTGTAGACCCGCTCGACCGCTTCGCTTTCTATGTTCCAAGGAATTAATTAATTAGTTCTGGATACATTTTTGGTGGGGTGGGCTATGCTAGGCTTACCTTACCTACTGTGTAGACTACCTACTAGGCTAACAGTCTATCTGCCTACTGCCTAGTGTTTGCCTGTTTCAAGTTCTGGTTCAGGTCAGGGTCGGAGGATATTTTGCTTTCATTGTTTGTTTGATTTTTTTCTTTCTTTTCTGCTGCTGATATCCTGTTTTGCCCCACTTTCTTTTTTGGGGCGTGAGATATAGAGATATACGAATTAAGTACAAGGATATACCTATCACTACGACTTTTACTCTAAAATTTTGGGATGTGTAGTATATTCATTATTACTACTCCGTACATACAGAGTACACTAAGTACTGCACACTCGATGCATCCGGTAAAAGGTCTTCTTACGGCCACGACATCCAGTCCCCGCCAATCATCCCCCATTCGGAGGCTTATGCACTGCTAACAGGGATCCTTTCAGGTTCCTGCCGCCCCCTCTAAACGGTCGCCATGCTGCTTCATGATTGCTCCAATCCTCCCGTCGGGGCCCAGCAATCACGTCTCAATTTTTGCTATCGCTGACCCTACATGGGCTCCGCTCTCTCCACTCTTCCTGCTCCCAGAACCGGATGCTGCCTCGGGCTCCGCTGGGCCTGTGCTCCATGCCCCCGTCGTACTATCTATCTTCCACCTCCTTTCCTGCTTTCCTTCCCCCCTCCCCCCCTCTTCTCTTCTTCTCTCTTCCTTGCTATTCCCTATTCCTCTTCAAACTCTACACAAAGTACTCTCGCATACGCCAGGATACACCACCATGCTCGATCATCTTGGCCTCATCCTCACACCTCCGCCGACCCGCTAAACGTTCGCGAGAATCCATGGTGATGCGCTATGGCCCCCCGATGCTCCCAGATCCGCAATTGTCGACTCACCCCTCGCCAATTTCCGATCAGCATCGCTGCAACCCGCTGGCTTTCAATCTCGCGCTGAATGGCCCGGAACGCATCCTCAGGATTCTCCTCCCCCTCGCCTTCCGTCAGTAGTGGCGCCAGCACTCCACTCAGTCGGTCTAGGTTCAGCAGCCCCGACCCAATACTGGCCCGGCAGACGCTGCCCCGGAAGCCCTGGCGTTCCAGCTCTATCAGCCGCTGCGTCTCATGCAGCAAGAGCGCGCTGAGTCCGAACACCCCACAGATCAGGTTCAGCTGCATCGAGTCGCTGAGCGCCAGAATCGCCAGACTCATCGCCTTGACCTTGACGTAACCCCGAGGTGAAACCCCCCCGAGGCAGCTTCTTCGCCGCTCCACTGGCTCACTCGTAAGGTGGCCCTGACAAATCTGGACCAGCACTCGATAAAGCCGGCCCGACCCTAGAATCCCCCCTGGGAGCCCGGACAGAAGAGACTTGAACGCCCATGCCACGCTCAACACTTGAATGGCGTCGCCACTATCCCCATCCCGGTTCAGAGGGTCCACCACATCCGCCGGTATCGTGCCACTCGCAACCGTCATCTGGATCTTGTCTTGCTGCTTTTCCACCGAGTGCACCTGATTGGCGTAGTAGTCGTACGTCCGTGCCGCTAGTTTCGGATCCCCGGCGTCGACAAAGACGTTTCGTACAGTAGGAGCTGTAAATGACGTCAATAAACCAATAGCCTGCGACGGATAGAGTATCCTAGTGGAGCATGGTGGATTCCTACCAAAGCATCCCAGATAGGTGATAATCGCCACAAAGCATACGGGTAGCTTCAATTTCGTAGGCGCAAAGTCGGCCGGAAGAGTGAGCAGATTGTACCCCCCAAGTCGAGCTAGGTCTTCCAGGGGTTTGCCCTTCAATGAAGTCATATCGGCCGATCGGCGCGAAAGGCTGGCGAACGTCCTCATCCGACGCAAGGTTCTTTTGCGGGGTGCGTCTGACGATCCAAGCTGGAGGGTCGACCGCATGGTTCGTATGCGTCCATAGAACTTATCCCGACGTCTGGGAGGATCATCTCCGGTGGCTGTATGGGATAGGCGACTATCAGGAGATCGTTCAGCTACTATGTCGTCAGAAACTGGGATGTCTGGTATATCACCTGTCGATCTCTGGCTCTGGGGCACACAAACCTGACACCTGACCCCATTCAGCACCCCCGTGAGCACCAAGCGTGTCGTCGACCTCCAGCGGCTCAAGACGCAATCTACCAGCCAGCTCATTGAACGCTATAACAGCCGCGTGGCGATCCCCTTGTTCCAATGCGTAACTGTCGTCAAGCGAGGCGGCAAAGTCCGAACTCTGCCTTGATGAGCCCCGTGATCTGTAGGAGCGGGTCTGCCTGAAGGGATTCCCTGGCTTCTCTGTAGTCCGATTGCGGCATGTCGACAAGACACTCGCACTACTGCGCTCTGAACTATGTTGTCTGCTGGAGTACGAAGTAGCCCCCTTCAGATCTTCGAAATTGACACTGGACTGTGTTGTAGAATGAGACGCCTCTTGAATATCACTGTAGGGACCATGATAGAGACAGTCCTGATCAACCAAGGCAATAGGCATGGACTTGTGCTTCGACGGATCATGGCAGACAGTCACACTAGTTAGATCTGAGCTGAGCGAGTACACCGTCTTGTCACTGACCTTTCTATCGGCATCTCCATTCAAAAGGTCGCTGGACTGAGTGACCTGAAGCCCGACGGGCTGCTGATTCTCTAAATGACCAGTAGCTGTAGATTGATCCTCATTACAGCCCTCTTCCACCACAATAATGGGCTTTGCAGACAGACCAGACGACCCTGATTCGAGTCGAAGATGCTGTGACTTGCGTGAGCGAAACAGCGTCCTGAACCCATTCAGTTTGGAACCTTTGTCTCCTGAACTTAGATCCAAGGCGTGTCTCTTTGGGGCTGCCACATCCTTTGGCAATAAAATTGTATTCCTCCTACTATCGTGGTGCTTTGCTATGTCTCTTAACCCGAGAGAGGCAGCTAGCCCGGCGTTCACCGACGAAAAGGGCACAGAAAGTGATAGCCTTTGGTCCATGGATCGTTTCAAGCTGTCTCTGGTACTTTCCAAGGTATCCATTGCTGCACTAGACGCTGCGCAAGTGGTTAGGTATGCTAGAGAAGGAAGATGCAACAATCGTTATAGAGGAAAGTACTCGGTGTGGCATGGCCTGGGAGTTTGTTATGCCAATGTCAGGATCGTTCTTTCCTCTTTCGTCCAGTGATACTAAGAACTGGCGAGGAAGGCTTCATTCACCAGGCAGACTTAGCGAATGGCCGGATTGACTGGACTGTCCGGAACATGAGTCCATACACGTGAATGTAAATCACGCAGCTTGAACAGGGAATATACAACGCTAACGATTGCGAGGACAAAGCTTTGCCGTTCAATAACAAAGGTCCATGATTGCTTGCTATTACAACTGCAATAGCCATGCTCACAAGTAACAATCAACTTCTCACGCTGAGCGGGCTATTTCTACAACTGAAGTTCAATGACAATGTCTAGATGTATTGTGTACACGAGTGCCTTTGTAACCGGGATATAGACCGTTGCGCCATAAAGTACCGTCTACTTTTGCATTTCAAACAAGACGGACAAAAGCCCAAGTGCTCAAATACCAAGAAGCAATATAAGGGGGTAGAACCGTATAATCAAGTCAATAACGTGCAAGTGGGCTACCGTGGCCAACCAAGGAGGCCCGGGAACCGACACTAGCACGCAAAAACGCCTTTCCATGCAAGTTGTAAGTATGCGTAGCAGCGCAACAAGGCGCAAATACATTGTTCATGATGACTCGTCATTTTCACCCTCCAAAAGGATGTACTGGAGAATGTCACTCAAGGTAAGGACACCCTTTAGCCGGAAGTTGTCGTCCACCACAACCAGGCGGTGTACACGGGATTTGCGAATCGTGTCGAAAATGGTATCCAGACCATCGTTCAGGGAGCATGTATAGATCCCGGGAAAGTCCTGGAGTAATGAGTCAAATGTACTAGGAAACTCTTGTGTGACAGAACCAACTTACCGGAGATCGCTTCTTCAATGCCTCGCCCACCGTCAGACTCAAGTCATCATAGACACCTCCTTTGATCAGCGTTATCACGTCGACAGCCTCGAAGACGTTGTACACAACACCTGCGAAAATCACGAAATCAGTACACATACATGCGCTCTCCGTAGTATCACATACCTTCAGTATTGATGATGGGGACACTTGATATGCTCCGTGAGACGAGAATGTGAATCACGTCAATGACAGGTGTATCCATCGATGCGACTGCTATATTGTGATACGAGCCCAGCAAGATCTCACCAAGGGGTTTCCGTAACTTCTGCGTGTCGTTGACGTTGACGGCGACAAACTTCAGGATGCGGTACTGGGTGAGAACACTCAGAACGAGGGCTCGATCAGTCTGACTGTCAAAAGTAACCAAAGGAATCCTCCTGGCGCGAGACTCGAGCATGCGCCGACAGGCTTCGTAGAGCGGCCGCTCTGGGTCAATGGATATCGTTTCGGGAGGCGCCACATGGAGCGCCTTTTCCACCTCTAGAATGGAATGTCAGCTTTTGCAACCCTTCGGAAAAAGCGCCAGACGCACCTCGTAGACTATCCAAACGGAATTGATCAATCTGATTCAGAGCCTCGGGGTTCTGATAGTAGTACTGAATAACATTGATGTAGTCGGATGTGGTGAGGAGACCGGCAAAGGTCGAGGATGTAGAATCCCATAACGGAGCCGAAACGATACCTGTATTGTGCATCCTTTCCAGTCAGCGAGATTGCATTCGCGGTGCGCATAGCCCGCGGAGCCGCGGGAAGCGGGTGGGAGACATGCCGTTCTGTATGAGGATATTCAGGCTCTCCTTGACGGACAGCGATGTATCGAACATGATAAGTCGAAAACTGAGTGGAAGGACATCATAGCTGGTACGGACTTTGAGGAAGTTGCGAATGGCACGCTACAAGGATTAAGAGAGACCAGATTCTGATTAGTCAATCCGTTTAATTCCCATGTGGAAACAATTACGAGCAAGCAGTTGGCAGCCAAGGTCATGGCACATTGGCATTGAGCGCAGGCATGACAGACCCGGAACCATGGCAAACAGTGTGATATAACAGGTTTATGTACGAAGCAGAGTGGACCAAGGAGGGGTAAGGCGCGTTGGACATGAGCGGGGCAAACAGGAAGATTTGAGGGGAAAAAGCAAGCAACGGGGAGAAGAAAGCAAGAGAAAAGCAAAGCAACTCACTAGGGCCTGACGCTCTTCCCGATCGATCGCCCTTTCGGGCTGAGCGGGGGGCATTGGGTGTGATAGACCTCGCGGCCGGAGAAAGAAGGCGGGATACACGAATCCTCCCTCGTGACCGCGGATAGGACGACGGTCTGGAACAGGAGAGGGAATGGGCGAGGGATAGGACCCGGTGGAGGAAGGCGGGCGAGGGTAAGGCTGAGGTGGAGTGGACCGAGGAGAGGCAGCAGGAGGAGGAGGAGGAGGAGCAGCAGGAGCAACAGCAGCAGCCGTGCTAGTCAGCGCAGTGATGGTGGACGTGGTCGAGGTGGTCGTTGCAGTGGTAGTAGTAGTGGTAGTTGTGGTAGTGGTGGTGGAAGTGTCGTCGGTGATTGAAAGCGGCCGCCCGGAAGTGCTGCTCATTCTGCCCGTGGGGACTACGGGCACCCGCTGGGGAGCTTCCTCCATCTTGATTGCCCAGTGCCGCTACTGTCGTGGGACCGCAAAACACATCCAGACATTCAGAATGGACGAGACAAAGAAGTTGACTGTGGGTGGAAATGATCTCCCAGACCTGTAGGATCAATAGCAACTCAAGGCTTGATGCAGTTGACAGGGGTAATAACCCGCCGGTGCCGCTGGGATAATATGACTAGTATTCCTAGTGATATGAATAGGCGGGGAGGAAGAGGATCAGTATGGGATGTTTAAAAAAGGAGAATGTCTAGGATCATCTGAGAAGACAGCGCGCGACGAATCATGCGCAGGATGCTTAGGATGATGCATCACATCTCCTGATTAATTAATCTGCCTACTATCTTAGTTAATTAAGACCCCAGTCGCCTGGATAGTTGCAGGTGAGAGAGAGTACACCAGGAACGAGGGGCATCCAAGACGGGCATTGAGGTATCAAATTTCCGAACAGACATTCTGACAGGCTGGATATATGCAGAGTGTCATATTCAGGGTGTGTTTATGTTTACTACATGCCGCAGCATTCCATATGGAGCATATGTATTGCTGCAGCTTCGTTGAGAACTTGAGTGGTGGGAAGTGGTGGGATACATGCCTGAGGCAGACACTGCCCCGCCATCCCCACACGTGACAGGCTACTGCGGAGAAAGCTTCGAGTCGCTTACTTGACTAGCTCCGGTCTCTATTTACGCCGACACCAATGCCTTATTAGATATTTATATCGCGACAGGATGATAACAAGCAAAGGTTGCTGAAATGTTTTGGACCATGTGTCTACTTATACCACAAGTCTAACCGAGAGCTCGAAAAAACGATGCCAAAGAATTATAAAGGCGTATCTATGTGTATGCCACAGCCATGCAATCGCCAACGCTCGAAGGACAATAAAAGACAATTTTACCCGGAAGTCGCACAAGATGGGAAATTTTACGCTGTAGGCTGCGCTCCACCATTCGCTCCCTCCGTCTGAGAGAGACTCGGGCTGGTGCCCGTCTTCAGATAATTCTCAATCTCACCAACACGTTTCCCGCCCTGGATCCACCGCTCCTTGTATGCTGCTCGGCGCTGGTCGGCAAGTTTGTTGAGCGTCGGCCAGTAGATCGAATGGTCGTACCGGAACTCGACCTCACCACCCATGGACTTCATCAACTGGCCTGGAGGCACGTGCTGACCCAGGTCCTCGTTGAATTTTAGCTTTTGGCGAGTCAATGGGTCGATGAACGGCGTGATGATCTTGAAGAAACCAAGGATCATGAACGGCACTGAATGCGGTCAGAGTATATCGTTTGCATAAGATGGGGACAACTCACTGTTAATGACAAGGGCGCGACCCATTCTCTCCGGGTAGTGGTTCTGCAGAAAGTTGAGGGTCTGCTTGGCCTGGCCGATACTCGCGTTCTGACCCGACTTCGTTTCCTTGTAGTTGACGATCAGTGCCAGCGTCTCCTGGTCCGGGCCCATGAGGTCAATAACGCGCTCAAGCATAAAGACCAAGTGCTGGATCTGGCGGTCGCTCGTTTCCGTGTTCTGGTTTGATGGCAGCAGGTAGAGGCATGGGCGCCCGTGGATGTCATATCCCAGAATGACCTGCTTGCCCGTCTCATTCTCAACGGAGATGTATTCGGCTGTGAGCTTTTCAACGCCGTACTCGCGGCGCCAGGTGAGCGTGCGCTGGAGGCGCGCAATTGCCTCGGAGACATTCCATTTGGTTGCGCGCAGGTACCGCAACAGGCACTCGCGGGTCAGGAACATGCGCTCATCGTCGGTAATAGGGGCGGTTGGAGAATTCTTAGCGGACGTTGTCGGAACCGTGGTCCATTCTGAGACAGCCTTCAGGACATCCTTGTATTTTGCTTGCTGATCGGAGGTGAGCTCGGCCGGGGGTGTCGGCTTGGCCGATTCAAGGGGGCGGGGAAAGGGCTTCTGGATGAGACCGTCGGCGGCGGACAATGGCAATTGAGATTCGAACTCCTCGATTTGCTTGGCTAAATCGGTGGATTCTGCGGGTTTAGTGGTAGACTCAGGGGTAGCTGCGATCTCAGCAGGACTTGAAGGTGACGGGTCAGAAGGGGTGGTCTGTGAGGCATCGACAGCAGGAATATTGTCGGCGGGCGCAGCGGCCGGGGGATTCGAGGGAGCGCTCATGATGAAGAGCTTGCTTGGATCTGTTGAATCTAGTGTAGATGATTGTAGTGTAAGCGTCTGCCTTGTCTGAGGGCACCAACTTTATAAATCGCAAGACATCAGCGAATATAATAAAGGGGGAGAACGGCAAGCAGCTTCCCGGGTGTCCTTTTTCACGGCGTAAGATTGAGCAGGGCGGAGTGTTGATCGGCAGGCCCACCGATCGTCAGCTGCAAACCTCCGCTGGATTAATCAATTGCAGTCAAAGAATACGTGGTTCCGCGGGTCGTGCTGCGGTCTCATTTCGGCAGGCGGTCACACCAACCAATTTGCGCGTCTCACGCGTCGCGCGTCATTGCAGTTCCGATAGAGAGCCATATTGGATACGAAGTACTATCCAAACTCGTCAATAATTAAGGGTTCCAGTCAACATGGAGGATTCTGTCGCAGAGCTCAACGAGCTCTTTGCTGCCGCTGCTCCAGATGGTCTACCCAAGGATGTTCTCACCGAGTTGCAGTCAATCCTGCGCATCCACTCCATTTCCGCACAGGAGCTCTTTTACAAATGGGAGTCTTACTGTCTGAAGATGGGCCCGGACGAGTTGAAGATGGACTTGGGTACCGTGCGACTGTTCAAGAAAGATGTGCAGGATACATTGGAGCGAGAAGCCCGCGGCAAAGCAGGCCGACAGATGGAGAGGAAACCAGCAGTGCCGGCCACCCCGCGCGCTGCTACGTCAGATGTTTTTGGCATGTATGTTGAGTATCAATGATTTAATGGTCAAATCTAACAAGTCAGGCTGGACGGATTAACACCAGGTGCTTCTGGTCGGAGCAATGCCGGTTCAGCGAAGCGGAAATCCGACTTTGCTTCGCCATCAATCTCCAAGATCGGGAGAACCGAACACAATGGATCTCCGATGAGTACCAGTGTGAAACAGACAAACGGTGATGGACTACAGTACGTGCGCGAATCACCGTAAAAAGCCCGCAACTGACGAAGCAGATCCATTCCCTTTTCCCAGCGCCAAAATGCAGGCGACACCATCGAAACCATCAACCCCCATCTCCCACAAGCAGAGGCCCCTATCGCGCCATACTCCGAAGCCCGCATACGACCGACGGCGAACACAGACCTGAAGAAGTTCGGATACAAGCCTATGGCTATGCGACTGGCCGAGGCATCGGAGATCTTGGACGACCGCATCGACGAATTCATGGCATTGTTTGAGAAACAGTACGGCAGTGACGAGATCACATTCGGCAGCGCTGCCACGCAGAGCACCAGCGAGATTGTGGCCGTCGGCCGCATCGCATCCGACAGTATGGAAGGAAAACTCAACACGGCGTCACTCGTGCTCGAGACGTCCAGACGTACAGGAGCAGGCATCCGTGTTCCACTGAAACTCGAATCCGTGCCATCTGCCAACTTCTTCCCGGGCCAGATCGTGGCGCTGCGCGGCATTAATGCGTCCGGCAACTACTTCTCCGTCAAAGAGGTCCTCCCCACACCCCTTCTCCCACCGGCCGCATCGTCAGTCGTCAACCTCGAAACCATCAACCAGAGACTCGAAGACGCTGGCTCAGCGCCCTTGAACGTTCTTGTTGCTGCCGGTCCCTACACGGCAGACGATAGTCTCGACTACGAGCCATTGAAAGAGATCTGCCGCAAGGCAGCCGACAGCTACGCGGACGGTCTCGTCCTGCTCGGGCCCTTCCTGGACATCGAGCATCCCCTGCTGGCCTCGGGGGATTTCGACCTGCCCGAGATCAACGGCGTGGACCCGGACACGGTGACGCTGACGACGGTATTCCGGCACTGCATCTCAGCGCCGCTACAGCGACTCGTGGCAGCCGTGCCCAGCATCACGATCGTGCTGGTGCCGTCCGTCCGCGACGCAGTCAGCAAGCACGTTTCCTGGCCGCAGGAGCAGCTACCCAAGAAGGAGCTGGGCCTGCCGAAGCAGGTTCGCATGGTGTCGAACCCGGTGACGCTGTCACTGAACGAGACAGTCATTGGGATGTGCTCGCACGACGTGCTGTACGAGCTGCGCCGCGAGGAGGTACTCCACGGCAAGCCGACGGAGGGGAACCTCCTGACTAGACTACCCAAGTACATGATCGAGCAGCGACACTTCCAGCCGATGTTCCCGACATCGAGCAGAGACATGTTGCCACGAGCGGGGACCGGCCTTGCAACGGGGGGAATGGTCGACGTGAGCTATTCAAAGCTGGGCGAGTGGTGGAATGTGCGGCCGGACGTGTTGATAACGCCGAGCATGCTGCCGCCGTTTGTTAAGGTCAGCCCCCACACCCAGTAATTCGTATAATCTATGATAATGCTAATAACCAGACAGGTAGTGGACAGCGTAACAGTGATCAACCCCGGCACGCTCTCCAAACGCCGCGGCGCAGGCACATACGCACAGATGGCGATCCAGCCACGACGGATAGAAGACGACGAGAGGGAGCAGAAGCAGGTCAGCCATAAATTGTATGAACGGGCCCGCGTAGACATAATACGGATATAGCGCAGCATAGCGCAGCATAGCAGCAGCAGTAGTATACATGATAATGATGATTCCACGAAGACTCCTCCCATGCCCTTACCCATACCATACCCATACCCATAAAAAACACAACAAACGCAGGGTATAACAGCCTAGCCTAAACATAACAAAAACCATAACACCATCTTCCCATGCATCCCACCCTACCTCTCGATAGTGGAATAAAAAGAAATCACCGCAAACAAACCACCCTCCTCCTCCCCCCCATCAACCTCCCCTCCCCCCTAACCCTCACCTTCGCCCCCGCCCCTGCCCCTGCAGCCTCTCCCCCCGATCCCCCCATCCCACTAACCAACCCCTCGAGTCCCAAATCCCTCCAGGCCCCCTCCCCCCTCCTCCCCTGCAGCGCCATAGCCCTCGCAATCCCAAACGCGGCGTGTTGATCCGGAACCACATCGTCTTCGTCCTCCGGGTTGGGGGGCTGATACTGCGGCGGGATGTAGATGTCTTCGATGGGGAGGAAGGAGGGCGTGAGGGTCGGGGAGGTGCCGGTGCCGCCGGTGCCGCCGCCGGTGGCTGCTGCTGCTGCTGTTGTGAAGGCTTGGGTTGCGGTGGATGATGTGTAGGGGGAGGAAGAGGAAGAGGTGGTGTGGTGGTGTGGACGCGTGAAGTCTTCGAAGTAGTCGGCTAGGCGGGGGTGGTGCATGTGGAGGTGGGTGGGGGTGGAGTCTTTGCTCTGTTTTTTTGGGATTTGGTTAGTTGGTGGGTTGGATGGGGAGTGCTGTTTGGGAGAGGGGGATTGGTGGTGGTTGCTGGTGGTGAGGGGATGGGTTTGGGGATGGGATGGAGGGGACGTACCATTTTGTAGAGAGATTGAGGGTCGGAGTTGGAGTGATGTGAAGGTCAGTTGAGTGTGCAGTGTATCGTTAAGTGTTGTTATCGTGGATTGGGTTGGGATGTATTGTGTTGAGATGTATTATGTTGGTAGTTGGTGGTTTGTTGTGAGTTGTGTTTGAGAAGTGGTTGCGATAAGCATTTACGGAATTGAATCAGAATCACCGCTTTCATCTCCAACTACGAATCATATCCACTCACAAGTAAACCACATTGCATCCATTATCTACCTAATAACCAAGATAAAAGCCTACATATTCGTACTCATCCGATGCACTATAGGTACTGCACTCGGCGGCAAACTGCCCATCTCCGTCACCACCATATCCACATACTCCGCCGGCGTCACATCGTACATGATATTCAGCAGCTGCAGATTCGCCGACTCCTTCCAGTCCTCCAGCGGCGACGACTTGCTCTGTGCCGCCGTGCTCGTCTCCACCGGCGCAGTGCTAGCTTTGCCGCCCTTCTTGGGCTCTACGGCCGGCTGCGCCGCGGGATCCGGCAACCCGGTCAGCTGCTGCACCGGCTCGACCGTCACCAGCTCATCGGCGTCCGCAATCTCGTTCACGACGATACTGTCCAGCGCGACGCGGTCCGTGAACTTGACTGTCTCGCAGCATACGATGACGGGAACTTCGACGCCGCCGGCGCGCTCCTTGGCCGACATAGCGACCAGTGCGGTACCGACGCGCGAGTACAGGCGACCGTTACTGGTCATGGCGTGGGCGCCCAGGAAAACCTTGGTAGCGTCTTTGATGGCGTGGCTGATGCCGTTCATGAGGGAGTATTGCACGTCCAGACCGGCGTTGGCGAGCGTGCGCGCCAGGTTCTTACCCTCGAACAGTGGCCGCGAGTCGATGATGGAGACGCGGAATTGCTTGCCCTCCTTGTGTGCCGCCAACAGCGTCTGCTTCACGATCGAGCTGCCTGCAAATGTCACGATCACGTCTCCATCCTGAATCTTCTGTGCTGCGCTGCCGGCAATGACCTGGTCGGCGACGGTGATCTTCTCGCGGATGAAGCTGTCGATGAAATCGCACAGCGAGGCCTTGGCGGTAGCTTCGGGGACGGACGGATCGATGGAGGAGATAGCGAGCTTGAGGGCGCGGATAGCGTTACCCTGACTGATAGACAAGGGACGACACGTGGAGAGGTAGGTAATCTGGTGAGAAAGGTGGGTAGTCAAGTGGCGGGCGAGCGAAGTGCCCAGGGGGGTAGTATAAGCTTCGATGACCTGACAAACGTTAACACATCACAGCACACAGCCAGTACCAAGATAGAAAGATATACCCTCTTGAAAGCCAACAACGTAGCAACACATCTAGCACTACTACCACAAACCACATAGTCTCTCATCTGCATACCCAGCGCCAAAACCGCCGGATGCACCTCCTTTCCAGCGCCAGCAATCGTAGTCCTGCGCTGCTGACCATACAGATGTCCAAAGACCGAAACATTCTTCTCCTCCTGCTTCTTCTTCAACTCCGCCGCACTCGGCTGGCCCGTCGCCTGCGCCGAACCGCGACGAGGCTGCTGCTTCTGATGACCACCCTTCTGCGGCGTCGCAGCACCAGAGGCATCCTTCCCACCAGCCCCAGCACCACCGGGACCCGACGCGCCCTTCTTCCCACCAGCAGCCGACTGACCCCCACCGGGCGCAGCAGCACCAGCACCACCACCGGACTGTTCCCGTTCGGCGCGTTCGCGAGCGCGACGGGCGGCCTTTTCGGCTTTGGCTTTCTTCTTCAATTCGGCGGGGGAGAGCGCGGCGCCATCTCCACCAGCGGCGGCAGTATCCTTTCCTTTGGATTGTGATTGTTGCTGTTGTGGTTGTTGCTTGGCGGGCTGTGATTGCTGCGGTTTAGCGGGCTTAGCGGAGGCGTTGGCGCCGGCGGCAGCAGCAGCAGCGGCAGCGCCTGGGGATGATGATGATGATTGCTGGGATTGCATTTCAGCCGGGGGTTGTGAGGAGTCAACGGGGGTCGCCATTATGAGAGGTGATGTGTAGTCGAAGGAAGGAGGGGGAGTATCGAGGCGATCGGGAGGGGCATTGGAGACTTTTTCGGCGGAGGAGGAAGTGGAAGAAGAAGTGGATGTTGTGGGGGGAGCCGGCGATGAAACCCGTTCCCGTCGTTGACTCACGCTTTGCTGCTGCTGCTGCTGCTGCTTCACCACATAAGCTGCTGTTACCACCACGAGAATTCCCACGTATTGCACCACGGTGCTTCCCAGTGTGAGGAGTATCTCTAGGAGTATCATTCCACTGTGTTACTTCACCTCACTAGTTAAGGTTTCTGTGGTGGTTGGGAGTGGAGTCATCCGGGCTGCGAAACCGGATCTCACCGTCGATAACTAGGAATTGCTTCACAGAACATTCACCTATTTATCTATAACTGACACCTTCATGTATCAAGATATACTAACTATAGCAGGTACCTGAGTCAGAGCTGGGCAGACATTCTATCAAGCCACAGCCGATGTGCATCGACTAATCACAAGGTTTCATGGTATTCGGGCATCAAGCGTCCTTGTCATCCTACCATACAATCATGTCATCGTGCCAGAAAAGTAAAAGCTAAAGGCCAGAAGAGAAGACAAAAGCAGCAAAGATATCATCGCAGCGAGACGCAGTTCAAATCAAACCAGCGTCTCCAATTATGTGCATCCAAAGTAATCCATCCAACGCCATAATCACAAAGCCACCCACGCTACCCAGCCCAGTCCCATTCCATTCTATTCAGGAAGTTGTCCATTTATCGATTGTTGACCCAAACATTGCCCAGCGCTCGTCGTCGCTTTCGTCCTTCAGGCTTCCAGCTGGGTCGGAATCGTTCGTGGTCCGTCGCTATCTTGCGCTTGAACATGCTCAGGTCGTCCAAAAGGTTCTCCATATGCGTCTGCATTTCCTGCGCCTCAACATGACTGGCCTCGCATTGCATCGTGTCTTCATCTTCCCAAATGAGGTCCGGCTCGGGTTCGGGCTCGACATCAGACGGAGGCGATCGGGCACGGCTGAGCCGCTTGCGATTGGACGGGGAGCCATCGTTCTCATTCACACTGTATAAGCCACTCCGGCGCTTATGCACCACCACCGGAGGGATCGGGTTCCGGATACTGTCCAAGGCCAGCTTGAGGTGATTCCGCAAGGCCTCGTTCTCCGTCTGCAGCTGCCGGATCTTACACTCACTCACCATCTTCGTCTCCTCCATTAGTCGCTGGAGCTTCTCCACCTTTTGCTGATAATCTTCGAGGCGCTCGTTCTGCATCTCATTCTCTCGTCGGTTGGCTGCGGCCAGGCTGACACTCAGCTGAAGCGTGCGGATCGTTTCCGCCATTTCGGCGATCTGTTTATCACGTTCGGCGGCGGAGAGGTGGTCCTGGTTAACTCGGGCGCGTGTTCGGATGCGCTTGGCCTGGTCTGCGTATCGTAGGGTGGAGAGCGTTTCCTCGTAGTCACTGGGAGATATACATGCTATCATCGCCGTCTTCGAGTTGCCCCCAAGACTATCTTTCAGCAGCCAGGTCAGGATCGAGTCGCGGTAGGGAACCACATCCTTGCCCTTGCGTTTGCCTCCGCGACCCGGCTTAGGATCTGCCAGTGCGGCAATGACTCGGCCCAATGTGGTCAAGGACTTGTTGATGTTGGACCCCTCACGCAGTCGTTGACCGGTTGCTTCCGTGGACTTGGCTCGTTCTGAACCTGCCAGATCAACGAGACGTATTCGCGCCGTGCGCTCGGTGGTTTCATCGGTCGAAAGGTCGTGGTGGATCTGCTTCAGAGTAATAGTAAACACTGCGTGTGACCGGGACGATGTATCGTTCATCTTAGTGCTAGCCACAGTGCGCGATACATCTCCCTTGCGCATGAACTTCATGAGTTCGTCGAAGCTCTTGACCGTCACCTCTGTTAGGTCCTTGACGTACGGGCCTTCCAACGGGGACTCCCGAATACGAAGGTAGTGCGGCGGGTCGCTCCGAGGGACCAGCAGATCGCGCACATGTTCATTGTAGACTTCAAAGTAGGAGACGCGCACGTTGAAACTAATATCCGGAGATTCGGCGCTTTCGATGCGTTGGAACAAATCTTCGCAGGTCCGAGGGATCAATCCAGGCGCTTCCGGTGTGCCCATCATGGTATAACTCTTGCCAGAACCCGTCTGGCCATAGGCGAATATGCAGGTGTGGTACCCTTCGAAGTTGTGGTCCAAGAACTCTTCTCCCAAACAGTTGTAGACGTCTTCCTGGTGGGCGTAGTGGGGGTCCCGTTCGTTATGCGACCAGAAGGAATTGTCAAAGACAAATGATTTATCCTCCAACACCTTTCCGCGCGCCTGCGATTTAGGCTTCCCTTCGTCTTCCGGGCTTATCTGGGGCGCTCGAAGTTTGGTCGTCTGCGTATGCGGATCCATGCTGATCAGACATTCGGCATTGCGGTTAATCTCTGTGCTCCCAAGTATGGGATGACTGTCAGCTTCCATACGTATTACTCTTCACCGTTTAGCCAGACGTACCTCTGGGAAGGAACTTTCTCACACGGACGACAACGCGCACGTTGCCGCCGCCGGACGGACTAGACATGCTGTCGACTCGGTGGTGGGCAGACACGGCCACGCCCTCGCGTGCGCGCAGTGACGGACTGGACGCGGTTGATCGTAAGGTAGCGGCGGAGGCAGTCATCGAATGGGCCGAGGGACTGGTGATGCCGGTTATCGCGGAGATCCCGGAGGACGAGGCGGAGGATTGGGAGCCAGGCCCGGAGCCGTGGCCGATATGGTGGTAGAAACGGGGGTCCAGGGACATTTCGTGACCGTGATCCCTCAAAAACTGTACAAACTGAGTGAGGTGCTCACGATGGCGTTGAAGTAGGCAATGGTACATACAGGCAACTGTACCACCGGATGGTAGGGACCGAGAGGCGGGCTCTTTTCTTATCGAGGAGGGATTGATATTAAGGGTATGGGTGGCTGCCGGGTTAGTGGACCCAAGAATGGGCGTAGTGCTCGCCCTCGAAGGGAGGAACTAAACAAGGAGGATATCCAGAATGTATATGCTTGCGCGGACCGTCCGTCTGCAAGTTCAATTGACATCCGGCACTAGACAACAGAGCGATTCCACTCTCGACATGGGGTAAACAGTCGGGCAGTCGGGGGTTTCGGGAAAGCTCCTGCGATGGAAGGTGAAAGAGAGAAACATGCAGTGGTACGCAAGGGGATGGAAGACAGTACACACTTCCCCCCTCTCAAAGAAGGTCCACGGGGAGATGCAGCGATCGAGGAGGGACCAGAAGCAACAACCGAGAACTGGGGGGGGAGTTTGATCGTGGGGAGTTCAGATGAATGAATCGCATCGCCATGACCTCGTTTGGGGATTTCCCGATCGGGAATAGCAGGCAGCCTGAGGCAGCGCATAGACCTTCTGGCAGCGGGTGGTTGCCATGGCAATTCTACAGACAGCCAGGGACACGAGCACACGATAAGAAAGACTACTGCTGTGTTCGGAGAGACACAGACCGCCGAGGATGCAAGGATATGTCTTGATTGCATACAATCTGATTGTTTCGGTTGGTCCGGTGGTCAAGGAGTGCACCACCGGGAAATTACTAGCACTATCCACATTTACACATTGCATGCACTCATGTCTCAGCATCCACCGCTCTTGACCTGCAAAGAGTGACTGACAGCATCGAACATTCCGCATGGTCTCATATCATATAGTCGCGTTGCTCCCTCTATGGACGCCTCCAGCGTCATCATTCCCACCGGGCTTGACTTAGTCGAAGTCCTCATTTGCGGCCGCAAAGACATCTCCCTCGTCCGGGCCTTTTTGTCCTTTTCTCATATTTTCCACGTCAATATAGGAATCATTGGGAACCGGGTTGCCGTTCCGATCCAACGTTGTTTCAAACATCTCCTCCGGGGTCCAGTTTGCACTGGGATCCTTGGCTTTGGAGGAGGTACTGGGCGCAACCTTCTCCTTGGCAGCTTCCGCAAGGCGCGAGACGGGATTCGAACCTCTTGAGGTCATGGTGGTGGTTGTATGCTTTCTGTAAAAACTATTAGTTGATAATCCGGCTAAGACTGCTGGCCATCTCCACGGCAATCGAGTACATCTGCACCCGCAACCAAGGAAAAACAGCAAGCGTACCAGATGGTAGTACAGTTGCCTAGTTGGACTTTAGTTGAGATGGTTACATTCAAATCGACGTATCATGAAACCAACGACAGGAGTGAACTGGGGCACGGGCCCGGCATGATATATGGTCCAAAGGTGGCGTTAATGATGAGATGATGACGATGGGACTATCCGCATGATGGACTTTACTCACAGGCGGCTGTTGCTCCCAGCCGCACCCTCGTTGGTCTCGAAGCGTTGTGATTGCGTGGTTTTGGCTGGGTGAAGTCATTATGAAGTTTAATCGGTTCGCATTGGTTGAGCCTTCGTAAAAGCAAGGCAGGACCCATGGTCAGATGCATTATGGTTGCGTTGTCTTCGATTGTTGTTCTATGGGGTCCATGGTACGTTAGTTGGTCTCACTAAGATGCATATCAACTTATGATGACTTGATGGAATGTTTGTATAGCCGATCGCTCCAATGTACCCGCCCGGGGTGAGATTCGACCCCACAGCCTGGGGTAAGCCCCGGCACGCCATTGCACATTTGCTACCATACCCATTCCGATGGTGGCTGGCATGCTGGTTTTACTAACGCAATAATTGCCTCTTAATTTAACGACATCAAACAATCAATATTAACCTACCATGGTCAAGGCCGGTTTTACTTGGGCCTCCACCCATAACGGCTAAGCATATTGTGCCGATATGTCATGATTTGCGTGGAAGCCCGTCTTCTCATCAGCCAATGCACTCCACCGACTACTCAATATATCAGATCTGTATAATTATGTTCTCAGTCGTTACCAATTTGAGGTTGGGCTTTCTCGCTAGTAGTGGGGCACTTGTAACAGGGAACAATAGATTGAGTGAGACGAGATTTGCTGATATCCCTGGAGGCTACAGACAGAGCATGAGACTTTATCATAGCTGTATGACCTTCCTCACATCAAACCCGCTCTGTGCTTTCGGATCACTCCAAGGCAGCACATACCCCCGTTGATTGCTCACGACTCTTACCCCCTGCTCCATGAAATCAGTAGTGTAATGGGTATGTCCAAACACCCAGACTTTCACTTCATCAGAACTCCCCGATAGGATATCAGTTCCAAAGGCAACACTCCAAGGACTCTGAGCATGCTTGGGACTAGAGGTCCCCTCAAGCGAAGGCGCATGGTGCGTCACAACAAGGATAGACCGTTGCCTACTGCGCTTCCCCGCTGCTTTATTCTCCTGTTGTATTGAATGTATCTCCTTCATCAACCAGGCATAGTCAGAATCATGGCGCGCATTATGGTCTTCAACCGACCAGTCTGCAATCCTCTGGAAATCTTTGACTTTTGACTGAACAATATCGGCCAATTCTTGGGGTACTTTTGACCAAAGTGTGCAGCCAAGGATACTAACGTTAGAACCTGGGACATCGTATCGTTTCTGATGGAGGACGATCAGCCGTCCATTAAATGCAGGATCCTGCTCAAGTCGTTTTGCTCTTTCTATTCCCGTTTCAAACGTCTCATTATAGAACTCATGATTCCCAAGTACAAGAAACACCAATTTGAATCGATCAGTCAATTTCTGTAGGAAGTTGCGGTAATCTTCATAGTCCGTTAAGCGTCCGATATCGCCGGCGAGGATAAGATGCTCTGCGCAGGCGGGAATCTCATAGGATGAGTAATGTTGGTTGACCTCCAGATGGAGGTCAGAAAGAATCTGGAATGATACGGATGATTGATTTAACGAAGACCATACTTTCCGAAGCATTGCCTTGATCCAAAACGAATGGGCGGTTGAAGCTGAGAGAAGGCGGAACTACTCAAAAAGGAAACTCCAATGGACAAACTATGTATCACGTGATTATTGACAGCTACTGTAGTAGTAGGTGCTAGGGCAGCAAGTCTCCCCATATTCTGGAATTGACATTCGGTCACAATAGTGGATAAAATTTGAAGAAGAATGACTCTGTGTGAGATGAAAATTGGTGAACAGTGACAAGTGGGACTCTGAGCATGTAGAATGAAGAGCAAAATAGAAGCTAAAGACATTCCTTTGATTTTCTTCTCCCTTCGAGACGTCAATCCAGTATACAAGTAATAGTATCGTTTTCATATACTGTTACCAAGAATAATCCAGAGCCTAGTATCTTTGTTAGTATTTTAGTAAGAAAGTTGTTTATGTACACATGGAAAGCAAGTCTCCCAAAAGCTAAGCTATAGTTCTGCAGGGTAGACAGCCTTTTCCGAAATACGGCATAATATAGCAATCAAGTCTCTATCGATGTTTAAAACACCTCTCTAGTCATATGTATCGAGACTCAATGTTCGTTTGAATTGATAGACCACATTACCAGGTGCCTGGCCACGGGTATCGATTAGGATTCAGCTTTTCTGAACACATCTTTTCCTTAGGTAGGGACAAGTAAATTCTCTCAAAAGTCTTGAGACAGATACCAAGTAGACCAAAAGAGAAATCTCTCTCCGGTTACTGGTATTGTTCTGGTTTGTATGTTCTGACACAAAGTGTAACGATACTATGGATAGTCATACTAATTGAAACATGAGCAGGTTACAAAGATCACTGAGCTTCGTCTCTCATGTGAAGTAGAAGTCATTCTTCTAGGGTATATATGTGTTCCAAGATTTCTGGGGTGACATGTGTGTCGTCATAGCCCAACCAAAAAGTGCCAGGGTTTCCAAATTTATCATAGAACGTAAATCGACTTTCCCAAGTCCTAGAAGCCGGCCAAGTTGTACCAGCCGAGAGAAACATATGGGTGACACACAGGGCGTTGCTTTTCTGATTTATGGTGACCTCAGCCGTATGAGAATCAATCCCCACTGTTCGCGTTTCTTCTGATCCCATCGGCCAATAGTAGAAGATACTGAAGAACCCAATACCAGTGTCCAAATAAGCGGTTGCGTATTCCAAGGAGGGGTCAACTGTGCCCAGATCATAGCCTTGAAGGTCTGCTTTTCGGAGTTCGTACTTCTTGGTGGTCAGATAAAAGTTCCGTTGTACCCAAGTGCCGCTCTTGTCTGGAAAATCTTGCTCTACATTATCCTCCTGCTGCTCAAAGTTGAGATCGTCCACCTTGTATGTAACTGGGTTCGTACCCACGAGAGTGACTTTGGAATCAAAGGTTCCACCCCCCGGTATGGACAATCGTACCATCGGGCTGTTTGATGTTAGCACCGATTCTCTTGTCTTCGACCTTCGTCGTCGTAACCCAGTAACGCTTCTTTTGAGGACCCCCAGCCGCAAGAAATAGGTCAGGCTGGACGGTCTTTTGAGTAGATGGCAGCCCGTGTTCGAATTCGTTTTCTGTGATTGAATAGCTCCACGATCCTGATATTTCCGTGGGAGGGTCGTCATAATCGATGAGTTCGATTGCCTCGAGCTCGGATTCATTCAGCTCATAGGCATTGTTTGTGTCTGGATCAACCACACTGATAACAACAATCACAGGAACCTGCATGTTGCCATTGGCGTAGAGAGCATCACTCGTGGCGTTGGGTGTAGTGGCCTGGACTTCGAACGAGGAAACCTCCCAGGAGACGGATGTAGAACCCATGATGAGATAGTAGATGGATGATAACTGAGATGAATGATGAGAGTAGAAAAGACTTCTGAGCAAACAAAGGAATGTGATTCTCAAGGGTTATTATAGATTTCCTAAGCGAATAAAGCAATAGGTGATGCCCGCCATCCTGGTCGTACAACTTGAAGAGAACACCATTGTTCCGATGTCAGCTCTGGATCATACAAGCTCTTTGGGATTTGATGCATTTGATGAGACTTGACTTTTTCTAGATCTAATCTATCTTGCGTAATCATTAAGGGCCTTTTGCCCAATGGAGATCCTGTCTCGTCGATCGTTGGCCACTTGCAGGTTCCAATGCAAAGATAAGTATAGAATGAGCATTCAGCTCACTCCATAGTGGGTCCATCAAGTCTAACGGGCCCGAGGACATCTCTAGCATAGTACATCAGCCGGTTCAGCTGCGCCCTGGACGCATATGCATGTCGAATGTTGAACTATGCCACCCTTATGCAGCCTGCTTGATCGGGGAGCACTTAATTTATTGCCAGTGGCGAGCAGAACCTATCAGTTAAAATCTGGGCCCTGATTTTTGGCGACAATCACTAGACACAATCAAGTCGAGAACTGATTTCATAGCCATGGTAATGAGACTGCCAAGCGCAGGAAGTGACCAACCAGTAACCCTCAACCAACCTTCAAGTTGTATTTACACAACCCCGTCTGCGAAAAGCGAGATAGTACTGAGCTAGTAGTAGATCACTAGGGTTGTTGCATTTCTTCTTCGTTTGGCATCGGTATTATTCTGCCCAGCGTGTCCCTCTCACTAGTGCTCTGGCTAGCAGGGCCGTAACACCGCCCGTTTAGTAGACCGATTAATTACACAGCAAGATGCCACGATTCAATCCGGAGTGGTACCAAGCTGATACTAACTAGTGATTAATCGGGCGGGCTACTGGAAAATTTCGGACCACCACAGCACCAGCAGCGCGGGGTAGGCTCGCCATGACGCAGGCGGTCTTGCAGGAATGTTGCCCCATTTCATTCCTTCCACCCAGTGAATCCGGACCAAATGAACTAACAGAGTTCTCCTCAAAGGATCACCATGTCCGGGATTTGGTTGTCTTAAGGCTGCAGCAATCCTGCGAGCTAATATTAGGAAAGATGCAGTGACTCGTGCCGTGCGACCCGGGTCCAAGCGATCGATAAGGCCCTATAGTTTTATTCTGTGCGAATATCAGGTGCACATTGACGCGTCTTCCACCTTCCATAAGCGTTAGAGGGCAGATTCATCTAATGTAACTTTATATATAACAACTACCATTCTAGTATTGTCTAGACTCATTCCTCAAACCCCTCCAATGTGTAGTAGTTAGATTAAGTACCACTTAGTATCCAATCATTCTCTTCGGATCCACCCGGAATATATTCCCGAGCTGAAATTCAGCTGGCAAACACGAACAATGTGAGCAACCCTTAGTACTAGTAGTCTTCTTAAGCAGTCTCAGCCCTCCACTACTGCAACATTTCGGAGAGCCCGACAGACATGTAATGATACTGTAATACATCTGGGAGTTTGATGGCTTAGCATGTATGATGGCGTATAGTTGTATGCTATGTTGCCGTCATTAGAATGGAATGCGTGATTTGAGTGAGGCCTACTTGACGTGCTAGATCAATTTGAGGTGGCAAGTACAACTCGCAGACGGATGAACGCTCATCATCATGTTCCACCAGTAAGACATGCATGTGTAGTGTAGAGACCTGCTTTAGCAGCTTGGAGGTGACGAAGACAGCATCAATTGATGCATCAATGGGTCAGTCATTGTGCTCCTACTCCTCTTTGCTGGCAGGGTAGGAAGATGCAGGCATATACTAGCATTTAGGTATATATAGGAAGCTGGTCACCACTCTTAAATCTAGTTCAAGTGCCAATGCTCCTTCCCTGATCTCGTTCACAATCCTTCTCTTGCCAGAATCTCAATTTTGTTAGACATAAGAAGACAGCCCATCATGTCTTCGAATGATTAGCGACCTCTACTCCCAGAGTTTCAATTTTCAAAGCTTCTTGCAGAAAGGAGTCGATCCTCGTACTGGACAATACACCGTCAGCATTCAACTCTTTGTCGCGCCATCGGAGACTCGCAACTGTCCGTCACTCGAACTGTCGCTAAGCTACAATCCCCTCAACACCAAAGATATCGGTCTGGGCACTGGCTGGTCCTTTAATCTACCCTCCTACGACCATCGCCAAGGCAAGACTCTGTTGCTCTCGTCGGGTGAAAACTTTCAAGCCACTGAGACCACCAGTGCCTTTTTCATCCAGGACCAGAAGCTCAAGAGCTTCCAGGCCAAGAGAACGGGATCATCAGCAGGATCCACTTATGAGGTGGCCTACAAATCAGGCCAGGTAGAGATTCTCTCCGGTTTCAACAACACTTACAACCAATCGGTTCCAATCACCATCTACGGCGCAAATGGTCGTGCACTCAGTCTGGAGTGGACCCGCAACGGTGAACAGCCACGACTGAGTAAGATTCAAGACGGTGAGGATGTTCTGCTGGAAGTTCAGTATTCCGATGCGCAAGTAACCATCACCAAGGCGCCTGGAACTACCGCGGCCAGCACCTTCACGCTTATCCGGCGTAATGCGCAATTAACCCAGCTCAAACTGCCGCTGGACGACGACACGCCCCCGTGGCAGTTTTCGTACACTCCCTCAGCAACGGATTTGTGTGTGTCTCACAGGTGACCAGCCCCACTGGTTTGGTTGAAGAGGTCAATTACAAGCAAGATGGTCGGTGATTCGTGCATGTATCTGCCGAAGTATGGCTTGCACAACCGGCCTGAAGGCAAGGACCAGGGCATTGTGGTCGAAACGATACTCTACTTTGCGGTTTCCCTGCAGCTCAATCCGAATTGCGTGCACCTCAGTCCCGGTCCTGCCTGAGAATAGTTCTTTCACAGAGCTGATACACTGCCGAGCCTGAGCAGCGCTTACCCACTGTCTGGAGTCGTGAGGTAGGTCCGGGTGGGCAGTCCGAAGTTGCTTCACCAGTTCCAAGTCCACATCAAATCCACCACATCGAATGCCTGAGACGGATTAGCTACCCATATACAGGCCTCCGCCTTCCGCAAATCGGTGGTACGTACTGGTAGGATCTCCCAGAAGTTGGAAGGTGAAAGGACGATCTCCATTGTTGCCATTTACTTGTAAAACGGCAGTGTCCTAATCGAGTGTCAGCTAGATGGCACCTTAAATGACTTTGACCAAGATAAGCCTTACGATTGTGGAGCCGCCGCAGTCGCACACAAGAAGTATGTCACCATCCTAGTTATCCGACCTTGTTAATTCCAAACGTACCCAAAGGATTCTTGCTGGCTGCTGCTGCTCACCTGCATGTCATTTCCGTTCCTGTACTCATCAGCAGCCCATACAGCCGCAGCTACAGCTTCAGAGGCATAGGTAATGCGATGGTTGTTCCCAAACCATCCAACGCTCTCAACTGCCGACCGAAATTCCAGACGGCCGCGGTCTGACCAGCAATCTGGTTCGGTGAAACACCAGTGGATTTGTGGTCCACGCTCTCTAAGGTCCATCCACAGCCTGTCCCGCAAGTCTCGAAGAAAGTCACTGATGATTTTTCCGGTGCCAATGTCGTTTAGTTCCACTGTGCCGCCGAGGAGGTCTCTCAGATTATGGCGTTGTGTGGCCACGTCTGGGGACCCATCCAGCATGAGTTTTACCCAAACATACGGCTCTCTGCCGCGGGATGCCGCGGCACTCCTTCCCCACATGATCTGACCATTGCTGTTGTATTTGAAGATCGAAAGGATTATACCGTCATTAGCGCCATGAGTAGCCCATGTCGTCAGGACGCCCAGGGTAGTCAGGATCGTAAGGACTGTAAAGTATGTTTATGTTAGCGAGAAGCAGAGAGAGAGAGAGAGAGAAATAGAAAATAAGGCAGAGGCAGAGAGGCAGAGAGACAGATAAAACAGAAAAACAGAAAGATAAAAAAAAACAGAGAAACAAAGAGACAGAGAGACAAAAAAAGGGATTTGATAAGGAATAGGAGGGAACAAGGAACTTGCCTGTTTTATAAGCCCCAAAGTCCACGGAAATGAAGTACTGGTTCGGTTCCATGGTGGATAGAGGCGGGGGACAAAGTGTTTGAAGATTTGTGAGATGATGCTAATGAAAAAAATAGGAAAATGCATTCAAGACCAGCTGAATACATATACAATGGAGATTGATGATGATATTGGTATGAGATTGAGAAAATGAAAAGGGAAGTGCGTCCAGTTGGCTCTATTTATGTTTATTGATATGCCACTCAGAGTTACTACTACTCCTACTACAATTAGATTACAATGTATGATGCTATCTTTGAACTGCACCAGAATGGCGTCCAGTTCGCACGTTCATCTCATGACCTGGCCGTGTCTCTCTCTGTCACGCTCACAAACATACGGGCCCCTCCCCCTGTCTTAACTGATCTACCAGTCAATTGCATGGCATCCGAGAAGGTTTGTTGCGGCTGAAACCCTCACACGGGCTAGATTTGCGGATGGGTTGATGCCTCACATCACACAAAGAGCCGGGTAGCCCTAAGAGCCAATGAGCAACCAGGGAACTGACTGAATGGATGAACGGATGAATGAATCTATGAATAAAGAAATAGACTTTTGTCATCTATCCCTCCGTTTACCTTGCCCGATTTTCCTCTTCCTCTCTCTCTCTCTCTCTCAATTCCCATCATCTTCCTCCGTATCCACACACTCTCTCAACTCTGCGACACCTCCTCTCAACATCTCCTGAATAGACTCCAAACCAAAATTGCCGATTCTATTTGGCCCTTTCGTCACGCTACTCATCGTCATTATGACCAGCCCCCAGAACCAACATAAGCGGCTCAAGCGCACTTGGTCGGATTTTGAAGAAGAATCTAAGTTGGCCATGGAGAAGAAAGCTATGCTAGACGCGGAGGAGGGATCTATACCGGACATATGGAACGAAGGGGGTCCAGCTTTGTTACCCACTGCAAAGTACCTCTGTCAGAGACAGGAGTATAATGAGATGATTGAACATTATTGGTCCATGGCCTTTATGGCTGGACCGCACATGAGGTCTTCACCAGCAGATTTCCAAAAGGGATTCATTAAGATTGAAATGGAGGTTCACAGTTGGGCTTGGCGCTTTGGTGAAGAAGATTCGATGCTTCATCTCTCCAGTGATGACAAACAGGCCATTATCGCCAGCCTAGATGGATTCTGTGTCCAAGAGGACTGGGACAAGATTCATTCCTCTCTTCCTCCTGCCGCTCGCTCTGTGTTTGGAAAAGTTTTGCTAGAGACCATGCTCAATCAGTTCATCTACAAAAAGTTTGCCACCTCCCCCTTTTGGTTTATGGATGCCAAGGTGGATGCAACGGACCAGCCCGGGGATGCCAACTTCATTAAGAGACTTAACTTTATATACCAGGGGTTCAAGAAAAGTATGTCCTTCTCAAGTCCGCGTTCCTCCTCTTTCCCTCGTCACGAGATTATTTGAATTCACTAACACTTAGACTTAACATAGTGTTGCCCACGAACGCAGCATGGTGGAAGTCAACCCTCGTGAGCATCAGCACTGTACAAGACCTCGTCCTGGGTGCTCCCGAACACACAGCACTCAGTCGAACCATGCATGAACGTCGCAAAGAACTCGTAAAGTCCTATGTGGACGAGCTGTGGGGGTGCCGACTGTTTCGACTCCTTCTCAAAGAATCGCTGAGCGAGTCGCTCCAGACATTCCGCGATGACAGACTCCACATGATTCTAGAGTTTGCGGCCCAAGAGTTTATTGCTGGTCAAGCTGGTGTCTTTGGCAATTTAGTGGTTGAGCGACTGCCTGAGCTTGCCAAGTTTGATCACCATTCGGACACTATGGTAACCCATCATTTCCATGCTGGCTCTGAGTCCCACCATGGTGCTCAGGTTCTTCTCGTGGTAAGACCCCGCTACAGCTACCATGATACGATTGTGGGTATGAATTATCTACCGGTACCTCCAATCCAACTCATACAGGCGGAGGTTCTGACGGCGCCAATGGCGCCAGAGCAACACGCTCAATGCGTAGCCGCTGCTGGCGATGATAACGCTACCCAGGATGAGAGAATCGACAATGAGGGGGTGGACGATGAGAGAAACGAACGAGATGGAGAAGGTGAAGGCGAAAGGGAGGGAGAAGGGGGAAAGGAAAGAGAAGACGATGATGACAATGACAACGAAGGTGAGGATGATAACAGTGACGATGAAGATTCTGAGGATGACGAATGAGCGATATGGGGATTGGGGAGGAGGGGCTTTCCTGTTTTGTATCATTTCGGTTTTCTTCACTTTGATTTTGTCTCGTGAGATTCAACTTTATTGTTTCCTAATTTGTCAGTCGCTATGTACTATCATCAAATAAATACTAATATCAATTTCGGGCTTACCTATTATACCTTGTGCACTGGTAAATCTAGCTTTCCGGTAGAATACGTATATCCCCGATTTAGTCAGTATTTCACGCCATACTTTAAAGCAAGTGGTGATACTGGTTTATACTACCTAATACATTAGTAACTGTCCCCAAATAGTCTCCATCCCTTGGGTTCACTAATTGAATTTGTTACAGTCCGGTCGAGCCTCTGTTCGTATTATCAGGTGGTTACTATACATACATACGTTCCATGACGAGGATACAGACACAACTCTATTAGTGTCACTGCGTATATATATAAATATATAAAGTTAGTAGTAGAAACATCTGAAAACTCTGCACAAAGTTCCCATAGTACCATTCAAGGCTGGAAAACCATAAAACTGAATTATAGTCTACAGCAATATTATTTTCCTTCTACGACTAGATGTATATCCTATCACTTCTTCTCTAAGATAATGTGACAATAGCTGCGGGATTCAGAACGAGTACTAATCTTAATATAGATGCGAGTAGGTAGGGCTTACTATTTATTTTTGGATTATCTTCTTGGTTTCAGCCAGGATGATTACCGCCACAGTAACCCCGGCCATCGGTTTCACCCCCTTTCGGGGTCAGTAAATGTCTGGATATATTGATCAATAGATATATTACAGTTTATGGTAATAAGTAGTAGAGGTCATCATCATCAACATCACTATAACTATTCTTCATTCTATACAACTACTTGTACATAAATGCTTTATTTCACACTGTCTTACGTACCTACTATCTAGGACAAACTGTAAATCTCCAAACTAAGTTACTCTCTAAATACCCCCTCTAGTATGTAACACATATAATTTCCGCTACTTTACCAAAATAAGTACCAACTTCATCTCCTACTACCATGTACATAACTTAATTACTTACCCGCGCATGCCAAGCAACCCATCAACCATACCATCTACCAACACATACAAATACAAACCCAACAGCACTCAACTCCAAGAACCACCATAACAACACCCAACCCACCTCACCTCATAATTTACCCCAAGTTAATCCACCGCAATGCATTACCCCTTGTAAACAATTCGTCCAGATTTAAACTCCCCGTTAATTCCGATGGATGGATAGCGGGCTAGTTGGTTGGTCCAATCCAATCCAATCCGAAGGGGGTAATGATTGCCTGCTGAGGTGTTTGTCAGTCAGTTGCGCAGTTGTTGTCTGTCCACATGGCCATGTGGCATACATACGTACATACATACATAATGTATGTGTATGTGAGTGCGGGTTGGGCGACGTGCATAATACCCTACTACTATTCTAACTAACTACTAGTAGATAGATGGGTAGTTATTAGTGGATGATGCGGAGTTATGGGGCCGAGGGTCCAGTGACGTCGGGCAACTTACACTACTTAGTTACTTATCAGGTCAGGTCTGGTATTACTGTGTTGGGCATGTGACGTGCAGATGGATGCAGATACGGGATTGTTCTGGTTGGTTGGTTGGTTTGTCACTACGTGGTGGGGTAAAAGTATCAGAATCAGAATCAGAACTACGTAGTTTGAAGTGCAGTGTAAATGGTATAATATTGGTCTATCGGTCCGTGGTTGTAGTGGGTAAATAGTAGTAGTAGTGTATCTAGTATGTACGCTGTGCCAGTACAAACAAAGGAAATAAGGAAAGAATCATCCCAACAGTGTCCGACGCTGATAACCGAATGATAAACTGGTGTGTCGCAGAATGGTATCTTAAAGAACAGAACGAAGCGAAGCCACTTGTATACTGCTGCTGCTGAGGGTATATCAAGTCCACGTTCCCGATGAGCAAGCACGCCAGTCAAGAAAGCAGATCCCCGTCCCAGGAAACATAACAATAGAAAGATAAAAGAAATGTATCACAAAGGAAAGGTAAGAATAGAAAAAGCTTCCCGCGCTGATAGCGGGGTATTCGAGCAGTAGGTATCAATCACACGCAGCAGCAATCCAGTGAGCCAAGCCCAAACCAAACGCGCTCAAATGCAATCCGGTGATAATGAGAATAAAAAATGAAGAATCAAGGACAACGCTCACGCGCCTGTATTCCGTTGCGGTGCGAAAAAATGCATCCCGTCGCTTATGTCGAAATCAAATCAGAGTATTACTTTTGGGGTTTCCTATGTCGGTATAGGATAAGTCGAAGTTGTATCCGTTCTAAGCTGAGGTTGGTCGGCGAAGAATCTCCTCACAGTTGGCGTCAAAGCGCATGTTCCATAACCGAATGCTGTTCATCAACTTCTCCGTGCTTTCTAGCTCGCGGTCCCGGCCGAAGATCGTCTCCACAAATTCGCAGCCCGCGTTGCGGCCCATTGAGACCGTCTTGCCACCCTCGCGCTTGGCGGCCTTCCACATGAACTGTTCACATGTCTTCAGCAGCTTCTTGAATCGCACCCACAGGCGTTCGCCACTTTCCAGAAAATCCGCAACCGTCTCACGCGCATCGCGGCGCTTGATGCGCTCAATGCATTCGTCTGCCCGTTTCACCTTACCGGCCAACTTGATCAACAACAACCACAGATCGCCCGCGACATCTGCCATAGGAGTCGACGCGCCGTGGTGGAATACGGTCCAGTCGTAGATCCACTTGCCCAGCGAGTTGGCGTCAAAAACACTGCCCAGAAGGATGATGGGCATTTCCGTCGGATCCCAGTTCTTG